AAAAAAAAAAAAAAATGAAAGAAAAGAAAAAAGGAGGGGCAGGGAGGCCTTTATGCTTGAAAAACAGGACAGTTAGGATTCATGGCATCCTCTACAGCAGGGGTTGCCAATTTGTGGCACATGTGCCACAGGCAGCCTGTGTGTGCAGCACATGGCAGATTAGGCAAGGGAGAGTCAGCACAGTGCTGGACAGGGCAGGGAGCAGAAAGTGGAGCACTAAAGCAGGGAGCACAGGATAGAAGCAGAAGAGTACAGCAGCAGATTATGCAGGGAGGGAACAAAAAGCAGAGCAGGATTTAGGCAAAGAAAGGGTAGTGCTGAAGAAGGATCCAGGCTAAATTTGCAGGATGCCTGCAAAAAAGGTTGGCCCTTGCTGCTCTACACCACTGTGTAAAAAGCAGGTGGGTAAAGTAACAATAATTTTAAGTTGAAGAATACATTCTCCTTTAGGACAAAAGGGATTTAAAAAAGTTTCCCCGGTACTACAGGACCTGATGCAATGGTTCAAAAGCCTGCATGGGTGAAGAAAACTATTTTAAACCAAATATTGTCTAATTAAGTATCACTGGTTGGCTTAACAATTTCTCCACAAAAAAATGTTCAGTAAGTTTTGGAATACGTTACTAACAAAAGGGAGAGAGTATTAAAACAGTTATCTGGAGGCATGGGGGGCATGGAGAGACAGAGACAATGACACAACACCACTAAAGACAAAATCCTCCTACCCAGAAGACTCAGAAAATCTATGTAATGTTGTTAGTGCCTGATCTTTGGGAGATCAAAAAGCATTGGCGCCTCAAGCAGACCTAAACGATACCTAAGAACTTGTCTGCAAGAGCTTCTTTTGCGTCAAGAAGGTAAATGCCACAAGGACTTGCACCAAAGACTAGCACAGTGAAAAACTTAAGCAAGTCTGCTTTCTGCTCTCACCCCTCTCATCCCCATCTTCACACTACACACTGGACACCTTACCCTATACAAGTGACCCAATTCACCTTTGTCTATTGTAACTAGGAACACTGGAGAAGCCCTAATCCATCATTTACCTCATCTCCCTTCTGGAGAGGATTGTAACCTACAGTATGTATGCAATAGCTTTGCCTAGTCTAGTTTTAGAGCTCACCAGTTTTTACCACTTCCAATAAGAGACTACTCCACAGTCTAATAAATGTGTCATTGATTGTTACTTTCTCCCCGTTCAGTATGGCTGAGCTTTTTTGATCTTCTCTCCAAGAAGCGGTGCTGCCTACTCAGAGTACAAGACTGTGATTCTGAAGACAGGTCCTATTCTTGGTTTTTCCACTGGTCTGCTGGGCAAGTCACTTAATCTCTGTGAATTACTATCCTGATAGATTAAAAGAGGGCAATGACCCCCTTTAGGAAGGGCTTTTAGATCTAATGATGTAAGGAGCAATATAAAAAGCTAGGTAGTACTGTTCTGAGTTCTGATCAGCGCGCATACGTCCATCATTCACACTGAGCTAGCTGGAACCTAAACGCCAAGGTCTAGTACAATCGCTGCGGTAGGCAAACCTGATCACCTCTCCTTGTTCCATAATGTAATACTTCCATGCATACGACTCAGAAAAAACAAAAAAGAAACATTTTTCCTACCAATAGCTAATAGGGCTGTGCAAAACAGCACCATTTCGTTTTGATTTCCATTTTGCTGTTGCAAAAGGAGAGTGTTTTGTTTCACTTAGTTTCGAAGCACTGTGCCGTTTCATTGAAACCATTTCACTCATAGGCTATAATGGGGAATCATGAAAATGCCTAAAACACTGTCATTTCTCACCCAAGATGAAAATTGCAGGGATAGTAGCCCCTTCTGCAGCCAGAAAGCCTGCCAAGTTTCAAGGAGATAGGTGCAGAGGTTGCTGGGAAACTGCACCTCAAACAGTTGAAAGAAGAACTCATATCACTTGCCAGCAGTGGCAGCCTCCTGTCATCCCATGTGCAGATCTGGGGGCTTGCACCCCCCGGGAGGGCTGTGAGGATGTGCCGGACTCCTCCTTGGGGGTGCAGGCCCCCAGATCCATGTGCAGGATAACAGGAGGCCTCCACTGCCTCCTGGAACCTGCCCACACCCTGGGCACAGCCTACACCCACAGTCGGGAAGACTGCTGCTGCCACTGGCCCCAGGCAGCAATAGCAGCCTCCTGTCATCCCATGCATAGATCTGGGGGCCCGCATCCCCAGGACTCCTCTTGGGGGGGAGCAGGGCCCCGGATCTGTGCACGGAATGACAGCAGGCTGCTGCTGCCGGCTGGGACCAGTGCTGAAGCCAAGCAAGCCTGGCTTTGAAACTCAAAAACATTTTGAAACATTTCAAGTGCCCTTGTTTCAAAGCCTTTTGTTCTGTTTCGATTTCACTGTTTTGAGCTGAAAACGCATCAAAACAGCTTCAAAACGAAACACCCGGTGAAATTTCACACAGCCCTAATAGCTAGCCCCCTAATCTCAGTCTCTGATTTTGTCCTTCTTACTCTCTGCAACTCTTTTGAATTTGATATTAAATAGTATTGAACACCTCTTCTAGACCAAAGTGAGATATTAAAACCAGATTTAACACTACCAAGGTAAATAATTCAGCGCAGCATCTTGCCATCTTTATCCTGCAGTTACAGACAACCAGTTTGCAGTGTAAGCCTATTTGAATTCCAGTTAAATTTTACGAGCATATCGTATGCTCCACTTAACTCCAGATATTATAATTCATATATTCTTGCCTTTCATTTTGTAATTCAGTTATAGCAATCAAGTGCTTTTTCTGCTTGAAAGAGTAGCTAGTGCTTTATGACACTAAAACCACAAAAACTGAACACAAAACAAAAAAAAACAAAATAAAAAACAACAGTGCAAAATACTTTAATGTAAAATTTAAAGTTTGAACTCAAAAAACCATGTTTGCAATGAAAAAGGGAACATATGGAAGGAGAAAGGAAAATGTGTAGATGAGAAAAATACCAGAAACCCTAGGTTGATTTTTTTAAGGTATCAGGTGAACATCTGTACGTGAGGGGGAAAAAACAAACAAACAAAAAAAAAACACAACAACAACAACAAGTTGTAAAGTTTAATTTGGTCATGACTCAAAATTTATTCTTCTAGAACTCACCAGATGGAATTGTCTATGGAGATTCAGCAACTATCAAGACTAATTATTCACAAATATAGTATAATACAATGGATTGAAATGTGTAACATCCTTACTTTTTCCACATCTGCAGGAAGCATGAAGATATCACGCAAGGGACAGTTCAGGGAAGTAGTTCTTGTGTTCAAAGATGAAGTTGTATCTGTAGACACTGCAACAAGTATTGTTAGTTTCCTTGCAGTGCCAAGGATTTAACAAACAGTTTCCAGAAAATAAATAAATGCAGTAAGTATTTGTATGCTTGCCCAAGCTGTTCTTTTGAAAAACGTAGACTGTATTTAAAGTTATCCCAGCAACCAGAAGGGAAAGAACATGAATATAGCAGCACATACCTGTTTGAGAGAGGTTTGTAATGAAATTTGCTAAGAAAATACCAATTTTTGTCAATCTGGTACACTCACTGCCAGACTTGCATGACACCAAACAACTATGACAAGAGGGTAATGGGCCTGAGCAGCTGAGGAAAGCCACAGACAGTAGAGCCATTTCTATCCCTGCAATAAGGCACTCACAGTTAACAAGTAAAAACATACTGCTCCAAGGCCGGAAAATAAAATTGTAACAGCAAAACATATGATTTGGCAAGCTCCTCTAACACGGTGGTTATTTCGTGTGGATGCAGGAGGTTTTGATGTTTTCCATACATCATGACCCATTTCTGTCCCTTTAAACACATGATAGCATAGGTAGTAATTCAGTATTCCACTTGTTCCAGCGCATCGACTACAGCTTCTTTTATTATGATGTTCACTGATTACATAAGGGAAACAAAATTACTCCCTCTTTCCTTTCAGCACCATTAAAGCACAGCATACATCTATTTCTTTGTAGACTTTCAACACCACACCATACCCCCAAACCTTTCTTAATTCTTGCTGAACTTAGAGATGCAGCACTCATTAGAAGGCATTGCCTCATGTTCATATTCAAATCTCTAAAAGCCACTATCACCAGAGATTAGCTACTGTTAATGATGAGATAGAAAGGCAATGGGAAGAAAAGAAATAGTAGGGTCAGAGTGTTGTTGTAGCAGTGATGGTGCAGGAAGTATATGAAAAGGCAAGGATTTTTATGATCGCTTTTACTGGGCCAACTATAAAGCTGGGACATCTATTGGACAAGCTTTCTGATATAAATCTAAGATGACAGAGGAAAACATGAAAGGCTGTGCTCATCACCTGGACTACACTATATTTCATTACAGCACTCAGCAGATTTTGGGTGCTGCCACAATATAAAAATTCTATGCGATATGCAAATAGCTGCTCTATAAAACAATAAATAAATAAATAACATAGGTTTTCTGCCTAAATTCTGATCCATGGAAAGATTCAGAAACCACATGAAACTAGATTATAGATGTTAAGCTAATCACCACAGGACTTATTTGACTATTTTAAGCACCCTTACTTGGCTATAAAGCTTTGTTATGCCACATTGAGTATTTTCAGAAATAGAACTAGTTAGCTGGTGCTATGCTGGTGTGCCGGGGGGTGGGGGAAGCCTTTTTGTTAACGCATTATTAAGATCTAGATCAGGATTATCATTTAAAAAGAAAGATCTGCTCTGCAAAATTCCAACACAATAAGTTTACTACCATCTCATCTGAAAAGCAGTGAATGGACAATACACATAAATGCCAGAAACACTCACACCTCAAGTACTCAAAGTCCAGCATTTTTGCCAGGCAACATAACATACAGAACTCGGCTTCTTCATATAAATGGGAATATAGTTGATCTGGCCACATAACCTTTCTTTTAGGCTACATCCAACACCAAACTGTACAGGATGCAGACAAACTCAGAAGTTTCACATCATGTTTTTAAAGCCAATTTAAATCTAAATGTTCATTTTCTTTATTGCTCATCCATAGGAACTGCTTTCATCTTTTACTGGAAGGAAGTTTAATGGCAGTAAAAATTTTTGATGTAGTGTTTTCAAATTAAATGTACTTTTGTACTAACAAGGCAACATTTCCACTGTGAAGCTGCAGGCCTGCATAAAGAATGAAAAACTGAGAGCACAGAGAAGAAAGATGGATGGAGACTGATGGATCCCCCCTCCACCCCAAACACTGGAGAGAAGTAACATGTTCTGTGGGCATGTTGATAAGAGATAATGCAATATTACCCTAAAGCAAAGACCAAAACCCAAAACTCGGGGCTAGATGTCTTTAAAAAAAGAAATAAAATGAAAAGGAAAGAAACATATTTTGAGAAATTAAAAGCAGAGGCGATAGAAAGAAGCTAGAGATCTATTTAAATTTAAAGACAAATTAGGACTTCCAGCAGAAGACTATTCTAACCTCCCCTCTTCATTTTTCTATAAGAGGACTTCATGTTCCCATCCAAAAGTAGTGAGCTTTGGATAAGGGGATGAAAACGGAAGGAAAAAACCTCCCTCCCCCCTCCACCCCAGGAACACCTGTACCAACTAATAGGATCCCTGAATATTCTTCTATAAAATGTGTCACCTCAGAAAAATATTATCAAAACCTTTGATCACTTAACTTGTTCAAAGGGACTAGAATTTTAAAATAATTTAGCAGATAAAAACAAGGCTACTGAACATATCTGCAATGGAGCACTGAACACATCATTTCAGGATTAGTGAAATGAGGTAGCCCTGGTCTGTAGTTGCCACCAACAGACCTAATCAGGTAAAGGCGTGGAAGGACAGTTTTGTGCCAGCTCAGTATGTCAGCAGGGCAGTCGCACATAAAACCCGCATGAAGGAGTTGGCTGGGATCTGGTAGCAGCACACGGCAAGCTGTGTCGCACAAAACCATCTGGTTTCTTCCTAAGCACAGGCCTCACCCCACACCCACCCAAGAAAAGCACTACCCATTAGGATGCTACCCATCTGGAACCAAAAAGATCAGGAAGTACAAAACTCAGCCAGAAAGTCGCCTGGCAAAGGTGGAAATGTACATTTCAAATAAAACTGTACAGGGAGCCTTGGAGTAGCTCTATAAAAAATAGAGCATTATTGATAAATCCTTAGAAATAATTTCACAGTGAATTTGTTTCAATTTAAACACTGGGACTAGCTTTTGGACTGTGCACACATACTTAAGGACAAGGAGGAAATAAGAAAGGGTGAGCTCGTTTTTAAGTAGTCATCCAACTGACAGTTAGCCAACTGCCAGCCAGGAGATAATCCAAGTCATCCGTCTGCCCGCATCCCCAAAAGCAAGCATCTCATTCTTGCATTTCAGTTCCCTGCTTCCCTTCAGCGCTCGCATCCTTCTGCCTCATTACAGAGCAACGCCATTGTCACTGCTATAAGACAACTACCCAGACATCTGCTGGGGGGAGCAGTCAGCCAGGTCTGACCATTCACATAGGTTCCTAGCCGAGTTACAGGACCTTCACCTAACCCAGAAGGTGCACAGCCCCACCAGGGGAAATGCCTTGTTGGATTTGGTCCTGGCCACAGGTGACAACATGGTGAGGGGACTGCGGGTGCTTGATCACCTGGGCGATAGCGATCATCACCTGCTGGAACTCACCATCCAGTGCAGGGTACCAAAGGCCTGCAGCAGGGCAGATTTCAATGAGGTAAGACGACTAGTCGGGGAGGCACTGAGGTCCCAGACGGGAGGGGAGTTGGGAGTCCAAGAAGAGTGGTCGTTCCTTAAGGAGACGATCCTCCAAGCTCAAAGCATGACAATCCCCACATGGATCAAAGGGGCCAAGAGTGCTCAAAAGCCCCCATGGCTCACCAAAAGCATCCACGAATGCCTCAAAGTGAAAAAGGAGGCGTACACCCAATGGAAGGGAGGGGTCATCACCAAGGAGGATTATACTGCCTTGGCTTGAGATTGTAAGGGGGCTGTTAGGAAGGCTAAGGCGGAGATGGAACTGGGACTAGCAACCCAGACCAAAGATAACAAGAAGTCCTTTTTTAAATACACAGAGGGTAAAAAGAAGGTTCCAAATAATGTGGCGCCCATGCAGGACATGCTTGGTAATCTGGTGATAGTACCAGATGACAAAGCTGATCTCCAACAGATTCTTTGCTTCCATTTTTCTGAGCAGGGACAGGGACATACCCCACACTGGGAATCTGGACGGACCCAGGGGAGGCACAACCAGGCCTAGGGTCAGTGAGGACCTAGTCAGGGAACTTCTGGAGGGACTAGATTGTTCAAATCAGCAGGTCCTGATGATCTCCACCCCAGAGTGCTTAGGGAATTAGCAGAGGTCATTGCGGGACCCCTGGCACAGCTTTACAAGCACTTGTGGTGCTCTGGCAAGGTGCCTGCTGACTGGAAAAAGGCCAATGTGGTCCCCGTTTTCAAAAAAGGGAGGAAAGAGGACCCAGGAAACTATAGGTCCATTAGTCTTACCTCGGTCCTGGGGAAGCTCTTTGAGAAAATTATCCAGAAGCACATCTGCAAGGGACCAGTAAGGGAGATTATGCTTAGGGGCAATCAACATGGGTTCATTAGAGGCAGGTCCTGTCAGACCAACCTGGTGGCCTTCTATGACCAGGTCACAAAAGCCTTGGATGCAGGTGTTGCGGTGGACATAGTCTTCCTAGACTTTAGGAAGGCTTTCGACACTGTCTTTCACCCCATCCTCATTAAAAAATTAGGTATCTGTAGTGTCAACGCCTACACAGTCAGATGGATCACAAATTAGCTAGAGGGCTGCACCTAGAGAGTGGTGGTGGATGGGTCACTTTTGACCTGGAGAGATGTGGACAGTGGGGTCCCCAGGGCTTGGTCTTTGGGCCTTCACCGTTCAATATCTTCATCAGCGATTTGGACGAGGGGGTGAGAAGCGCCTTGTTCAAGTTCACAGATGACAGCAAGATGTGGGGAGAAGTGAGCACGCTAGAAGAGAGGGACAGGCTACAACTAGATCTGGACAGGTTACAGAGGTGGGCAGATGAGAATAGGGTGGGTTTCAATACTGACAAGTGCAAAGTGTTGCCCTGGGGAGGAAGAACCAGCAACATACCTACAGGCTAGGGAATCCCTTCTTGTCAGCAGAGGCAGAAAAGGATCTTGGAATCACTAGCGATTCCAAGATGAACATGGGTCGCCAACGTGGGGACGCGGTCAGTAAGGCTAACAGCACCGTGTCATGGATCCATAGATGCATTACGAGCAGGTCCAAGGAGGTGATCCTCCCCCTCTAT